CCAAAATTTGAGAATAAAAATATCGGGTGTTATGATATCAGAAAAAAATTTGGATATAAATATTTTAATATCCCAGTACGAATTAAGATCGAAATATATAGCCTGAAGTTCAGTGATATTTTTAGGTTGTTTGTAAGGATAATAAACAATTATGTTTTGTATTAAATAATATCCCAGTGGGAATAATGGCCAAATGAGAACCGATGTAAAGTATTTACGATCATTTTTCGAAATTTTGTTATTTGTATTATTCCACTTTGCATTTCCATCCATTTCTTCGAATTTCACAACTTTTATTTTCATTTCAATCACTCACATAAACACCCACCAACAAAAATATATATCCCTTCTTACCTGTGGTCTGCCATCAGTCGCCCGCAATGACAACAATGTCAAATATATGGCCAATATTCGAAATGCATTTCTGTGAAATTTAATTAATAAACCAAATTTGCAATTATACATAATTGCCAATGGTTTATGTTTCGATACCACAAATATTTTTAGAAAAATTCAAATGAAATTCCCCGCAGCCTTAAATATCCAATGTAAATTAATAATTCCAACACGTATGAATTTTCCAACGTGAATGAACTGCAAAGTTTACTTGCAACAAACATTATATAAATTTATTAAACAATTAAAAATTTAGTTTGATTTTTAATAAAAATAATTAGATTTTTTTACTCGTTCGCTCTTTCAAAGAGTATACATTGCATGTCTCTGCAATGCATGCATGACAGTTTTTGGGATAAAAATCTGTAAAATTGCCTAGCTAGGGCTAGCCGCAAAAAATTATAATTATTTTTGTGGTTAAACAAATGTCCATTGGCCATTTGAATGTCATCTTTATGTGGAAATTTATTTTTGTATTTTTTAGGGTTTTGTCTTTTTTTATTTATAAATAATTTTGTGTAATAATTAGTTGTTTTTGTTAATAGTTTTGTGTCAACACATATGTAATATTTGGCTCCAATATTTTATGGAATATTTTGTCTTGTTATTGAAAATTTATTGTCATGTAATGTAATTTCAATTACATTTCGTGGAAAAATGTTGTAAGCAAAAAATTCAATACATTTTAATGAACAAATCTCTCGAATAGAGAAGGGGAAAAGGTATTGGATAACCTATAAAATAAACTAGGGTTCAGTATAGTAAGTGAAATCATATACTTCACATGATACCTTTATAATATTTCGCATTTTTCTCTCTGTCTCCCTTCGAAAAAATTTCATAGTGCCTATAGACTCTCAAAAGTTAGAATAGAAGGTAGTGTTTTGCGTTTTGGTTCATTTAAATGAGCTCTTCTAAAAGTTCAGTTTTTGTGGTTCATTGATCAATCGGTCACCATTAATCCACGGCATTTCTGTACCTAGATCGATCAAAGATAATGAAAGGTCAATTTTTTGTTCCTTACCTGGCAAAATATTGGCGATAAAAAACTCTCCACTTTTACTTCCAGCTTAAGTGGGTTCTTCTTTCAGAACATACACAAGACTAAAATGAACTATATAAACTGGTAGAAGGTAGTGTTTTGCGGTTTGGTTCATTTAAATGAGCTCTTCTAAAAGTTCAGTTTTTTGTGGAACTAGTTCATAGTTCACTATTTAGTTCATTGATCAATCGGTCACCATTAATCCACGGCATTTCTGTACCTAGATCGATCAAAGATAATGAAAGGTCCATTTATAGTTCCTTACCTGGCAAAATATTGGCGATAAAAAACTCTACACTTTTACTTCCAGCTTAAGTAGATTCTTCTTTCAGAACATACACAAGACTAAAATGAACTATATAAACTGGCCTAGTTCATAAGCTCTTTTCCGAGAATCGCTTGAATTGAACTAGTTCTTTCGCAAATTAAATAACTACTATAGAATACCTTGTTTCACAGACATTTGGTCTGTTCCATAACCTGCAAAAATGTAAAAATTTTACTACAATAACAATACAGGAATATACCAATTTTGGATCACAAAATATCCCAGTAGGAATATAGAGTGATTGATACATCCACAAGATATCAAAGGATTGGTTAAGAAATACAGAACGTTATTTTTATAGGAGGATATGTCAATAAGAACAAATATCCTACAAAAAGGAAAAAACTGGGCATTTAGAAAGGGGAGCAAGGTAGTTTTCAAAGAATATCCCAATAGGAATAACCTCTGTGAGAATGAAGAAATATAAGAATGCTATCTTAATTCAAGATTTAAAAAAAATGTACACAAAAAATATCCCAGTAGGAATAAATACTAAAAGTGAGAATTGGAAAATTGACACGACTACAAAAAACCCTTAATTAAATCTCCTTTGTATGGAAGGTCTGTATCACTATATTGACCTGAATTAGTCCTCTGATGTTTGCGTCTTTCCGATCTTTATCGTCTTCCGATGAAGAAGAATCTGAGTTACCCTGCTTTCGTATGACCTCACCAAATCCAACCTCCTGTTTCGAATGCACCTTGGCAAATGGTACCTCAAATCCATAGTCGTTATTCAAAACCCCCAACCATTTGCCATTATTTATGCCATTTGAACGGCACCCATTGCCACACTTTCAAAGAAGCCGTGAAGTAAATGGGGAATTAGAAAAAGAACAAATTTTAATTAACTTTGAGATTACAGATTATCCCAGTGAGAATATTATTTATTGGAGATTAGATGAAATTCGTATTTATGAAAACCATCAAAGATGTGAAAATTGGAAAATTGAGACGACTACTTTTCTATACATAAAAAACCCTAAATTAAAAAAAATCTCCTTTGTATGGAAGGTCTGTATCACTATATTGCCCTGAATTTGGCCTCTGTTGTAAAGGTAATTCGGATATGTTGAAGATTACATTTTATTTGAGTACGTCAAAGGAGAACTATACTGTTTATAGAATACTTTTATAAAATCTTAGAGAATATCACAGTAGGAATTAATACTGGTAGAGAATGAAAGATGAAATTATAAATATCACAGTAGACATATAGACCGTAGTAGGCATTGGAGTAAAGTTTTATAAAAATTCCAACATAAGGTGGATTGTATATCGAATTTGGTATTACAAACGACCAAGTTGAGACCCCATATCTTTTCTTGATCACAATAAAATTATATTATATTCAATTTAGAAATGTCCGCCTTTCTGTTGAAGCATTCTTTCTAAAAATCTTATATTTGTATTAGAGTATATCCCAGTAGGATTTAATACTGGTAGAGAACAAACGACTCAATTATGAACATCCCAGTAGGCATATAGACTGTAGTAGGTATTTGAGTAAAGTTTTTAATAATTCCAACATATGGTATTCCAAACGAACTCAGAAGGTTTGTCTAGACCCCATATATTTTCTTGATCACAATTAAATTCTATTTCGATTTGGAAATTTCCACCTCTCTGTTGAAATCATGATAGTGATCTCAATATTTAAAATACATTTTTGAAATTTCGCACTGGCATTGCTATTACTCGTAAGATGTTTATTATTGCAAATGAGGGAAATCGGTCCACCTTTAATATATTTGATTAAATGTTCGCTATTTTTAAGTTTTTAGACTCATTTTCGAACCAAACAAGGTCTGGAATTCTGCCATATATATCAGCACAGAAAATTATCATTATAGGTCCATGTTTTGGCATAGGCCCCTTTATCCAATTTTCGGTATTTTGAGGTTATTAGCCATATTTTCCAACCAAAAGTCCTTTAATTAGGCATATAGGATTTTTAAGGGCTGACAAACATATGCTCAGAAAAATATCATTATAGGTCCATATTTTGACACTTCTGCCCGGAATACGTTCAATATAAGTCAATTTTTGAAACAACACACAAAGGTCAGGCTTAATATATAATGTATTCTGAAGGCCTTTTATATACTTTCTATAAAGAAATTTCTGACGAAGAAATTTCCAGGAGGTCTGGGGAAGGAAAAAATTCCTATTGCTTCGTAATGTACAAAAGACTCCGTTTAAAATCCCAAAATCCAACACAAAGTCCACAATATGTCCTAAATATAGAAGGTTTTTTGAAAAGCGACCTGCGGTGGGTCAACTACCTACAAACGTTCTCTTGTCTCTTAGAAGAAAATTCAGAAGTTCTCCTTTAAATAAAAATGGACTCTGAAAGTCTACTTTATATAGAAGATCTTATGAAGGAGTCTGGAGAAACCTCTCAACAGCAGACCAACTTTTGTTCTCTGAGTTGTAGAAAACTCCATAAAATCTCAGATATGTAGAAGTTTTCGGAAATATATATATTGACTACAAGAGGTCTTCGAAAAGAATGAAAATTCTAAAGTTCTACTTAATATAAAAGATCTTCTTTAAGGTCTAGTGAGAAATCGATTGCAGAGTTAGAGAAGACTTCCTTTAATCCTTAAAATACCGAAATCTAAAGATTTTCTAAATTTAGAACATTTTTTAAAAGCAAAAACCGCTAGATGGCTTCCTAAGGAAACAAGGCCTCTTCTGAAGGTTCCCTTTACACAGGAGCACTTCAAAAGGTCTCTCTTATATAGCAGAATCCCTGAAATGTATATTCTCTAGATAATAACTCAAAACTCTGAATGAACTCTGAATCCTTGAAGAAGATCTGAAGTTTCTATGTGTAAAAAATATTAAAATGTGCTTTCAGATATCCTTAAAAAATACATCCTGAAACTCTTTCATATCAGATTTTGGAAGTCGAGGTATATAGAAAATAGCCTTGACCGTCTTCTAACGAGATTTTTAATCCTTGTTTGCTCTCAAAGGCCTTCCACCCCTAAATTAGAAATAATATTTTATAAAAACTTTGAAATGGACATCCTGTGGACAGAAAAAAACTTTATTTTGTAATATCAAACATTTGGAAAAAATTAACAGGGAAGGCTTCGACCTTACCTTCAATATTTTTTTATTTCTCTAATTAAAAAAATATTTGTGTAAATTGTTTTGAAATTGTCAGTGTATTTTGTTTATTTTTTTTAAATTATTTGTAAGATTATTTAATAATAAAAAGTAATCATGTACCAAATGAAGACAATGAATATGGCATCAAATCCAATGGCAAAGCCTCCAACGGGAAAATGTTGTTATGCGGTGGTACGAGTCAACTTGTCCATCCATACCACATAATTTCTCAGAAACAATTTTCTAATATCAAAATTTCCCTTCTTCTCTTTACAGTACACCTCATTGGCTGCTGGTCAGGCACAACAACAATATCAACAACCTCAACCCCAATATACCAGTGCTGCTTATGCTCAACAATTGGCCCAACAACAACAACAAGCTACTCAATATGCCAACTATGCTGGTGCTGGCGTTCCTGCTCAAGCTGCTGCCTATCAACCTACCCAGTACGCTCAAACCCTCCAACAATTGCAACAACGTCAACAATTAGCTGCTGCCGCTCAACAACCCCAATATCAACAAGCCGCTGCTGCCCAACAACCCGCCCAAACTCAATATTCTGCTGATCAATACAACGCTGCCTACTATGCCTATCAGCAACAACAACAAGCTTTGGCGCAACAGCAATTGGCTCAACAACAACAACAGCAACAACAACAACAATTGTACTATGCCAACCAACAACGTGAGTTGTTGAAACAATTGTACAGCAATCAACCAGCTGCCGCTCAACAACAAGCCACCGTTGCTGCTGCCACCCAACAACCCCAGGCCAATCAATACTACACCGCTGAACAATATGCCGAATACTTGAAGCAACAAGCTGCCCAACAACAACAATTGCAACAGCAACAACAACAATACCAACCCGCCAGCTATGCCACCACTGCCACTGTTGCCACCCCCACCACTCCTGCTACCCACACCCAAGCCTACACCACTGCTGCTGCTCCCGCTGAAGCTTCTCCAATTCCACCACGTAATGGTTTGGAAAGTGGCCAATACTCACCCTCCGATAAGGTGTCTTCCGTCAAATTCCAAAGTGGCAATTTGGCCTACAATTTCTAAGCGACAACAGCAAAAAAGCAAAGACGATGACCACCTTAGATAGCATTGTGACCCGAATGGGTGGGGGAGATGTTTTCCCACTGATTACCTATCTTCCGAGTAGAGGTAATTAGTGTTTGCTGTTCTCCAATTCATTAGTAGTATTTGTCCATGTCCAGTGGTCACTTTTGTATGTCACGGTGTTCCTGTTGTACAGTTTTTTTGTAGCTGTTCCTAAACCTATTATATTTCAAAATTTTAATGCCATTTTCTTATTTATCATTTTCATCCTCTCAAATCATTTGGAGCCCCTTATTGGCCAAATTTCTCATTTAGTTAAGTAATAAAATTATTTTTATTGAGAATAATAAAATGTTAAAAACAAAAAAAATATTGTGTTTATATTTTAAAACCAGTAAGTTAAATTCGAAAGTCGGACGGGGCCGAACTTTTTAATGAAGAAAACCAGGAGGGAAAGTTCAAATATCGGACGGGGCCGACTATATGATACCCTTCAGCACTTTGTGTACATACAAGAGATGTTAATATTTACAATATCCTGACATAGAATCTTTGGAGCACCATTGAGATGGAATCGGGCGAAATTAAATGTGCTATCTAGATAGATATTTGAACCAATTGAAAAACCCCCATACACATCATTTTTTCCTCAATTGCATTCGCTATGCCAAATTTTTGCACAATCAGACAAATATTGGAAGTTTTGGGTATCATTCACAAAAAAAATCGAACTAAACTATATATGGGAGCTATATCTAAAGCGGTGTACACACTATCATTTTTGACTGTCAACTTTTTTATCGATTACTGACTGTCCAACAACCATAAATATTTTTGTGGTTGCCTGATGAATGACAAACATGTGAGGCCACACTATCAAACAAGCAAAATTTGGGCAAGAGTGCCATTCAAAAATGCTAGTGTGTACACCACATAAGTCTTAACCGATTTTAACAAAACTTCGCAGACATCAAGCTGGACATTATTCAGTACTCTTTCCAAAATTTTGTCCCAATCGGACAAATTTTGAGAGTTTGGTGCATCATTCACAAAAAATCGGACGATCATATATATGGGAGCTATGTCTAAATCTGAGCCGATTTTAACAAAACTTCGCAGACATCAATCTGGACCTAATTCAGTACTCTGTGCCAAATTTTGTCCCAGTCGGACAAATATTGGGAGTTTGGTGCATCATTCACATAAAATCGGACGAAACTATATATTGGAGCTATATCTAAATCTGAGCCGATTCCAACAAAACGTCGAATACATAAGTGTGGACCTGATTCAGTGCGCTGTGCAAAATTTTATCCAAATCGGGCTGATATTGGGAGTTTGGTGTATCATTCACAAAAAAATTGGACGAAACTACATATGGGAGCTATATCTAAGTCTTAACCGATTTTAACAAAACTTCGCAGACATCAATCTGGACATTATTCAGTACTCTTTCCAAAATTTTGTCCCAATCGGACACATTTTGGGAGTTTGGTGCATCATTCACATAAAATTGGACGAAACTATATATTGGTGCTATACCTATATATGAACCGATTCCAACAAAACTTCGCAGACATCAATCTGGACCTAATTCAGTACTCTGTGCCAAATTTTGTCCCAGTCGGACAAATATTGGGAGTTTGGTGCATCATTCACATAAAATCGGACGAAACTATATATTGGAGCTATATCTAAATCTGAGCCGATTCCAACAAAACGTCGCATACATAAGTGTGGACCTGATTCAGTGCGCTGTGCAAAATTTTGTCCCAATCGGACAAATATTGGGAGTTTGGTGCATCATTTACATAAAATCGGACGAAACTATATATGGGAGCTATATATAAAATTATAAATGCTAATTTTAATCCAAATCAGATAATAAATGCGACCTGTAATTCGTTCACAAACTACATGGACGGACGGACAGACGGTCATGTGTAAATCGACTCAGAAAGTGATTCTATGCATATTCTCAAAAGGAACCATGGGTCTACATCGATTCCTTTTACCGGTTACAAACATATGTAAAAAGACTGTACCACAGAGTGGTGAAGGGCAAAAAAAATTGGGACTTTTGATAAGTCCATCCTCGGGAGGCATAGCAAGGCGTAGATTTTTTAAAAGATTTTTATACCCTACACAACTATGTTGTCAGGGTATTATAGCTTTGTGCAGCCCCAAGAGTTTGTAACGCCGCGAAATATTGGACATAGACCCACCTTTAAGTATCCTCATATCTCGACTAGCTGAATCGATCCAGACATGTGTGTCCGTCCATTATAATTTGTAAACACGATACAGGCCACCGTTATGGACCAATCTTCACGAAATTTTGCATGCAGGATGGGTTTTGCCCATTGTTTTTGGTAAAGATAGCTTAATATTTAGGGGATGAAATGGACCAAATACTTAAATTTTGTCGATTTTTCTGGTCGCTCCAGAGGCCGCAATTATGATCCAAGCATCGTTAATTTTGAAATGAAGAAAGGGATTGGGCCAAAAAAAAAAAGCATGCCAGTTTTGATAACGATCGGTCAATATTTAGCGGGTCAAATGGGCCCTGACTTTTGTGTGAAAAATTACAAAATTTGTATTCTATAAGGAATATATTTACTCCTGAAGGACATAGACCCGAAAAGTTTATAGTATATCCAAGAGGAGTGGTTGGCCTTTAAATTAATACCAATTATATCGTGTTCTCGGATGTGGGAGTTACACTTAAATATTTACAGGTGCTTACGTATTCATATAGTATTTAGTAACCCATTACCACACAAGAGGGCGAAAATATAGCGAGCTTTGATGATCCAAAAGGTATGGTCAAGGACAACGTCTATAATTTGCGGTGATGATCAGATAATAATTTTGGGTTGAAGTGTACCGAAAAAATAGTTTTTTGTGTTTTTTCGAGTCGATTTATAGGCCACAATTGAAGGCCGAACATCACAACACAACCAACGGTGAATCTGGATAAGTAATTAGAAAGGCTATACTGAGTATTAGTAATAATAATATTTGTTGACCTCTAGTCGGACAAGAGGGTGCAAATATCGTCAAATATTGCCCAAGCTCAGAATATAGAACCGCAGAATGTAAGATTTCCACGAAAGTTGTGTAGGGTAACATATGGTTGGCCCCGTCCGACTATACTGCTCCGCTCACTAGTTAAAAATAAATTTTTGAACACCTTAACAAGGCTTAGATTTTTAACAATAATTTTTTGAACACCTTAACAAGGCTTTTTTAAAAATTCATTTTTGAAGACCTTACCCTAGTATTGTTAAATGAAATCAAAATTATCTGAGAAACCAATTTCACAACAAAATCCTTCTGGTAGTGTTGTTAATAAATTTTACAATTTTTTTTAATGGTGCTAATGTCAGCATGTTGTCTATTGCTTATTTTTTGTATTTCTTTTTTTTTTTTTTTTTTTTGCATTGTTAAAAACTTCCGCTGAACAAATTTACGAACTGTCGCTGTAGCTAGCAGCTCGCTTCGTTCGTTCCCCATATACATATTGCAATAAAATGAACACGGTGAGAGTGGCACACAGAGCAGCGCATTTATTCAATTCACGATTATTTAAATTTGTGTCCATTTATTCGACAACAATTTTTGCAACTACAATTTGTATAGCAAATTTCTATCTCTGTCATGCTTTCTGTATGTCTGTCTGCTAAGCTGTTGGGTCCTCAGCTTGTCTTCGTGCACTTCTATGTAAATCGTTCTGCCTTTTGGCAATTTTTTGTAGCACTTCCGTTATACATGCCACTCTTCCGTTTACAGTGTGTTGTGATATGCAAAGTGTGAGTGTGTATGTATGGATGTGTGTGAGTGAGTGTGCCTCTGTTTTTTGTGCCGTTGAAGAAAGTGAATCAAGTCAATAATTTTTCGACAAACTCTGTTCGCTGCAATGAAGCATGCAGAAGTATTTTCAGTTATTTTGTTTGTCGCCGATTACAAATGGGAGGATGGCAAACTTTCGCTTGTCCCCAAAAATTGGGTTGAATTGTGTTTCGTTTTTTATTTTCCTCTGTTTTTGTCACAAAAGTGTGGAATTGCTTTCAATTTTTATTCGCAACTTTTTGTTGGGGTTGTCTTCTTTTGTATAGTTAAATAAAAAAAAAAAAACAGAAAACTACTATGATTTACAATCACAAAGAGATTGTGTGAGGATAAACTTATATACTAGGAATGAAGGAGAAAGGAATAGACGAAATTTAATTAAATAAAATAAATATTGAAAATAAACTTTAATATTGAGTTTGAAAAACCGAATGACCCATGAAAAAATATTCTTTAAAATATCGATGCCTTTGTGACCCTTAAGAAAATATTTTTTAAAAAATCCACGCCTTGTGTGACCCTTGAGAAAATATTCTTTAAAAAATCCACACCTTGTTGTGGCGTTTCAAGGCATTGAAAAAATATTCTTTAAAAAATCCACACCTTGTTGTGGCGTTTCAAGGCCTTATAGTAGGCCTTGAAAAAATATTCTTTAAAAAATCCACGCCTTGTTGTGGGGTTTCAAGGCCTTATAGTAGGACTTGAAAAAATATTCTTTAAAAATCCACGCTATATAGTAGGCCTTTAAAAATATTCTTTAAAAATCCACGCCTTATTTAGGCCTCGAAAATATATTCCTTAAAAATCCACGCTATATAGTAGGTCCTGAAAAAATATTCTTTAAAAAAAACACGCCTTGTTGTGACCCTTGAAAAAATATTCTTTAAAAAATCCACGCCTTATGGAAGGCCTTGAAAAAATATTCATTAAAAAATACACGCCTTGTTGTGGCCCTTAAAAAATATCCTTTAAAAAATCCACGCCTAATAGTAGGCATTGACAAAACATTCTTTAAAAAATGCACGCCTTATAGTAGGCCTTGAAAAAATATTTCTTAAATAATCCACGCCTTATAGTAGGCCTTGCAAAAATTTTCTTTATTTAAAAAATCCAAGCCTTATAGTAGGGCTTAAAAAATATTCTTTAAACCAGTAAGGAAAGTC